CCGGCGGCAGTGGCGCGGGGACGGGCGGCAAGGTGGTGCTGGTGCCGCTCGAGTCGACGCGGTCGTCGCCCGTCCCGTCGAATCGGGAGGGCAAGAGCTCGTCGACCGCCGGCGGCGCCACGACAAAGGGGCGATACAAGGACCTCGACGCCTTCCTCGACGAGAGCAGCGATGACGAAGACGCCGAGACTGAGAGCGAGAGCGACTTCGAGGTGGACAGGGCGGCACGGGAGGATAGTGAATTTGGAGGAGAGGAGAGCGACAGCGGGCAGGACGCGGAAGACGAGAGCGACGCGGAGAGTGTCGACGACGACGATCATGACGATGATGATGACGACGACGACGACGAGGAAGAGGAAGAGGGGACGTCGGCGTGGAAGTCGTAGACCGTCGGTCGATTCGAGGCGCGAGAATGAATGGGGTGGTCGTTCCTGGTCGAGCTGCCCGCCGGTTGGAGACGGCATCGTCGCGGTGCGTCGAGACGGCCAGCGAGAAGAACGTTCTGTGGGCCCCGTGTCCGCGAGGGGCTGGGCCGATCAAGCCCGTCTGCCTCGACCTCGATACGCTCCGCTCCCCCTCCTCTCGATGGGAGCCCGAGCCGGTGCACCTCCTGACCTCGACCCGCCGGCTGAGCGAGGCTGCTGCTGCTGCTGATGTGGCTGCTGGTGCTGCCTCGTTGTATCCCTCGTCGTCGAGGCAGCGGCGGCCGCAGCGGCATTGACGGCGGCATTGATAGCCCGGCCTCCACCTCCTCCTCCGCCACCACCACCACTGCCGCCTCCTCCTCCCGTCCGCTCCCTTGCGGCGCCAAGGATCGACAACCCTCTGCCCTGTCCAGCGGGTTCCGGCGCAGGCGCAGTCGCCGTGGAGCTGGCGGCGCCTCTTATCGACATGCCCTGTCGCGAGCTGGCCGAATCGGGGTGCTGCGAGGCGCCCTTGATGCTCGCACCCTGCTTGCCGCCGCCGCCGCCGCGGATCGAAAGGCCCTGTTTCTGCGCCAGCTTGCTATCGGTGCTCGAGAAGCCGCGCACGCCGCCCCTCTCCTGCCGCCGGGACGATGCGAACAGGTCGTCGCTTTCCCATCCCGCCGACGACATGGGCGCCTGCGTCGTCCCACGTCCTCGCGGTGCCGGTGCCGGCCGAGGCGGAGAGGGCGAGCGAGCGCGCGATTGCGTAGCAGAGTCGGCGACATCGGACGGTCGAGAGCGCTTCGACGAGTCGGTCCGAGAGGGACGTGGTCGTGCGTCGTCGTGCTCCTCGTCGTCGTCGTCGCGACCACGTTTCGGACGCGCCTCGTCGACGGGAAACGCGGGCGGCGGCTTCCACCACAGCGGCTGCGCCGACACGTCCAGCCGATTGTGTCGCGGCTTGAGGTATTCCTGCGCGTCGGATCGATGCGGGCAGTGGTGGCGAAAGTGCAGGGCGTGGACTGCGTCAGCCCCCGTTCCTCTCTAGGCAGTAGAGTCGGCGAAATCGCCCACAGGTGCGCGACGGACTCACCTTGGCAATGACAAAGACGCCCTTGGCCGACTCCTTGATCGATTCGTGACCGTGCCAGTTGCTCCTGACCTCTTGAGAGGCGCCGTAGAGGCGTCGCAGCCGATTCTTGAACGGCTGCTCTTCAATCTCGGGCAACGTGATCGGACCAGCGTTGCGGCCCTGCAAGTCGACAGAGTGGCATCGGCAGTGACGGGAGCAGAGCTGCTGTCAGTGACACGTCCAGATCTGGTCTCGAAGCATCGATGCACTGCGGCTACTCACCGGTGGCGTCGCATGCAGGAGGATCATCAGCAAGGCCTCGGCCAGCAGAATCTCGTACGCCTCTTGCTGCCCTGGCGGCCCGGGCAGTGCCTTTGCCTCTTCCGGATAGATGGACTGGATGGGAGGGCGCAGCAAGGATACCGCGAAGAAGGATGGAAAAGGAGGAGGGCGGAGATGGTACGAAAGACGAGGAGAGGGAAAGATCGCAGGGTGATGGAGCGTGGGACAAGGAGGTGGTGCGGAGAGTACTGTCGATAAGCTGTCTGTCGCCAGGGTAAGACGGCGCCTGGTGAAGGGAGACGGGTGGCTAGAGAGCGGGAAACGGGACCGGCAACCGAGTCGATGCTCATACGAACAACCGAACGGACGTAGCCCCGCAGCAGCCGCAGCAGTGCACGCAGGACCCTCGCCGCCCAGCTCTGAGACCGTGCAGTGCCCCCTTCTTTGACGAGCCGAGGCCAGCGAAGCTCAAAGACACCCACATTTATGGCTGCGACGGCGGCTCGGGCGAGCGCTCTCCTGTCGTCTTCGGTGAGATTGTCGGCGTTTGTGGGCGCCTTGTTGATGGCGACGGCCGCCTTTGCTGCGACCTCGGCGGCGAAGCGCAGCACGAGGATCCGGAGCTGCCCGCCAAGATGCCTCAGGAGCGTCGGCGCTGTCGCTGCCGATGTCGCCGTATCAGCCGCAGACGCCGCCGTCGAGGAAGCTTTGGTGTCTGGCAGGAACTTGTGGACGAACCGGAGCGCCTTTTGCACGTCCTTGATGTAGGCCGCCGAAGCCGGAGTGGCTGCGGTGCCGTCCGAGGCGGGCTCGTAGGTCGATACCTCGAGCAGGCTCTTGAAGAGCTCGTGCGCATCTTGCATCTCGCTGCCGCTGGCGGGCGACAGCAGCTCGCTGCTTGCGAGGGCAGCTTCGATCTCCTTGCTCTGCGACTCGAGCACCGCGGCGCCGCTGCCCGCGTCACCCTCCCGTTCGCCGGCTCCTCGTCTCCCGGCCGCCCGGAACCGGATCAGGAAGCCTTCGACCAGCCGGACGAGGAGGAGCGAGGCGCTGGCCGAGGCGTTCTCATACTCCTCGGTCGTGGCAAAGTCAAACGACGGCAGCCAGAGCGTGCTGAGCGGGCGCAGGAGCACCTTGATAAGCTCCATCTCCTCGTCGTTGCAGAGAGGGATGATGTCGGCCAGCCGGAGCGCCAGCGCGGCCTCGTAGTCGGCATTGCCGACCACCTTGTCGTCGAGCACCTTTTCGGCTTGGGGCGAGGCGAGGAACGAGAGGGCGAGGTGGCGCAGCTCGCCCTTGCAGTGGTCCTGAATGATGACGTCGAAGGCGTCGACGGGCGACTGCTTGAGGTGGCCGACGAGCGACTTGGAGATGAGGTCGTGCTCAGTGGGCTCCTCGTTCTGCAGGAGCTGGACGAGGACGTCGGCGTTGCGCTTGAGGAGCGTCGCGTCGCTCCGGCTGAGGTCGCGCATGGCGCCGTAGCCGAGCTTGCGCACGGCATCGCTGCCGTCCTCGCAGAGGTCGTAGATGCCGTTGACGACGGCCTCCTTGAGCTCGTTGGTGCGGCCCTTTTGCGAGGGGTCGAGGCGGCCCTCGATGCGGCACTCGATCATGAGCGCAAACGCCTCGAGCAGCGGGTCGATGGCGCGCTCCTTGCTGCCTGCCTCTTCGGCCCGATCCATGGCCTGCAAGAGGTTGTCGAGGGCGTCCGAATGCGCCTTTGACCAGATGATGCTGAGCTTGCGGTTGCGCTCGATGATGTCGCGGTCGACGGCGCGCACCAGGTCGCGGATGTCGCTCTCCTCCTTGGACAGGACTGGCGACGGCGAGCGCCTCCTCGAGCCCTGCGACTCGGCGGAACGGGAGCCGCTAGGCCCCGTGAAGCCGTTCCAGCCGTTGTTGCTGCTGCCATGCCCGTTGCCAGCGCCGCCGCGCTGGTCGTTGAAGCTCGCGTGGCGGCCTTGCTGCTGCTGTCGTTGTCCAGCGTAGCCCTGGCCGCCGGAGAAGTGGTCGACCTGCTGCCGCGGGTACCGGGGCCCATTGAGCTGGGCATTGTTGCCCCAGCCAGGCGACTGGCCAGGCTGTCCGAAGCCTCCTCCGCGGCCGCCGCCTCCGCCGCCTCCGCCCGGCGCAAAGGGCCCGTTCTGGAAGCCGCCAAAGGGCTGCTGCTGACCGCGGGGCGGCATCGGCTGGCCGTAATACTGCTGGGGAGAGTAGAAGCTACCCCCCTGGGCACCCATCCCGCCTCCCCTCCCACCGCTGCCGTTGGGCCCGCGCGCCGGCCACATGTTGAGGAGATGCGACGGACGGACGGACGGACGGACTGGCTGGTCTCTGAGAGATGTGTGCCGGGAGCGTGGCTGAAGGCGATGGCGTCGAGGAGGAGCTGGTCTCTCGCGGCGGCTGGTGGCAGCGGTTCGGTGGTAGCCGATGGTAGCCGACCGATGAAGTGAGCGCGATGGCAGGTGAAGGACGAGAAGCAAGAGATCGGACTGAAGGAAGGCGGCTGGCCGTCAAGGAGTCAAGCCAAGCCAGGCCAAGCCAAGCCGCACAGGAGGCTCGGAAGCTGGAAGATGCGTGCATGCAGGCGGGCGCACGAACCCTCTCTTTCCGAAAAAGCCACCGCAGGCCTGGCCTGGCCGCGCAGAAAGTCGCAACGGGCAGGTGCGGGCCCAGGCAGGCGCAGTCGGCGAGGCGAGGCCAGGCTCGGAAACGTTGCCGGCGCGCGCAGGCGGCGCAGAGACAACCAAGCGAGCTGAGCTCGCGACCGCCAGCGAGGTCCTTGGGCGGATGCAATCTGGTGGTACAGCTGGCTTAGTCTAGAGCGCGAGATGGCAATGGCGGCCGCGGTGGATGATGGGGTACAATTACAACGGAAGGGGCAGGCAGCGGCGAGCAGACGCCAGCAGGGCCGCCGACAGGGCGGAGCAGGCCAGGGCGGAGGCGGGTCAGTGCGTGCCTGCCTGCCTCTTGCTCCGATGACGATCCAGAAAAGGGAGGGCTATGCAGGAGGAGGCGGATATCCCGACGCCGGCGACGCTTGGCCGGGGTAGCTGGGTCGCTTGGGATCATAGCTGCCGCTGCTGCCGCCTTCGCCTGCGTCGGGAACGCCGCCGCTCGTCGGGTAGGCCGAAGGGTACGCTGCGTTCGCGTCGGGCCGGCCGGTGCCGCCGGGGTAGCCGTAGCCTGAGCCGCCGTATGCGGCAGCAGCCGGGTTGTACCCGGGATAGCCTCCGCCCGCCGCAGCGCCAGCAGGGTAGCCCGCGCTCCCATAGCCCATGCCGTACCCGCCGTACTGCGTCGGTGGACCCTCAGCCTGCTGCTGGTGCTGCTGTTGCTGCTGCGGTCGCTGCTGATGCTGTGCAGGGGCTCTCGTTGGCCCAGACGCCATCGCCGTCGCCGAAGGTGCGACATGCGGCGGGTACTGTTGGCCAGCGTAGTGAGCTGGCGGGTACATCTGGCCCGGGTAGCCGCCGTAGGACGGCCCGGGTGCGGCCACTGGTTGGCCCCAGTAGGCTGGCGGCTGCTGCTGCTGCTGATGCTGAGCCCAGTAGCCCGCAAAGTGCGGGTTGTAATGGCCACCAGCGCTGTCCGTGGGGGGAGGCGGCAGCTGCTGAGGGTGACCGCCGCCAACGGGCGGGCTGACGGCATGCTGGCCGCCAAATGAGCGCGGATAGTGCTGAGGCGGGCCGATGACCGGCGGCAGCGGGGAACCGGCAGAGCCTGGAGGGCTGTTGAAGCGGCCCGACGAAGCTCCCATCGGTGGGGTGGCGTTGAAGGCAGAGGAGCCTTGGGGCAGCGCGGGTGACGTTGCCGCCGAAGAGTGCGGCGACTGGGGCAGGCTGGCAGGCTTGGGCGGCAGTCCGGCGATGCCGCGGCCCTTGTCCTTGATGGCGGCAGGGCCGGCGCCGCTTCCTCCCCCTCCTCCTCCTCCCATTCCGCGAGGCACCGGAGGCAGCCCGGCCAGCTGAGGTGGCCTTCCAAGGACCGCTGCCCCTGCGGCTGCGCCAGACGAGCGTGGGGCCATCGCGACGACCCCTGCATCTCCACCGGCTCCGGCATCGTCGTAGGAGAGGATGGTGCGGCCACCGATACCGCCGCCCGTGCCGCTGCGACTCGGCGGAGCATCGATGTCGAAGTTGGGTCGCGCCGGCAGAGCGGCAGCCATGGGCCGCGCCGGCAACGAGGGACGGGGATGACCTCCGTGTCGCAGCTGTTGCTGATGCTGCTGCTGCTGCTGGCCTTGCTGCGGATTCTGGTGCTGCGGATGCTTGCCGCTGCCCTTCTGGCGCTTGTTGCCGCGGTCGGTGCCGTTGGCCTCCTGCCTGGCCCGCTTGTTCTCCTTGTGCTTCCGCTTCGCCTCGGCCTCGGCTTCGTCGTCAGAGAACTCGACCTCGTCCTCCCCGACCTCCTCGTCGTAGATGTTGCTGGCGTCGCTGCCCTTCATGGCCTTGAGCACCCGCGTCAGGACATAGGTGCTGGCGTTGGGCAGGTAGCAGACCACGCGGCCGACCTGGACCACGTCCCGATCGATGGCCGCCGCCGACGGATAGCGGATCGAGTAGAGGGGCGCGTGGACCGAGCCAAACGTCTCAAAGACGAGGCCGAGCACCTTGCCGTCCTCAAAGCACAGCAGGCTGCCCGTGTCGAGCACGCTGTACTCGCCCTCGTCCGCCTCGCCCCGACGGCCCGTGCTGTCGATGGGCGCGCCCCGGACCGCTTGCTTGCCCTTGTAGCCTGCGCCTGCGCTTGCGCTGCCAGCGGCGTTGCCCGCCTCTCCTTCCTTCTTGGTGACGTCCTGGGCGACGACGACGACGCTGTCCACGATCGAGTGGACCTGGCCCAGAGGTCGCACCATGGCCAGGTCTCCGGGCGACAGCGTCTGTATTGCCGGCAGCTCGACGTCGGGCGCCACGACCTCGTTCTTGGTCTTAGGAGCTTCACCAGCGCCGCCCGCTCCTGCCTCGTCGTCATCGTCGTCGTAATCGTCGGCTCCAACGCCGAGAGCAGCGTCCACCTCGCCCGCGTCCTCTTCGTCCGAGTCTTCGGAATCGGAGTCGTCGGAAGAAGACGATCCACCGTCTTCGTCGTCGCTGTCGCTAGTGCTGTTGCTGCTGGCGGCATCATCACCGTTGTCGCCTGTGGCAGACATTCCAGACGCCTGCATCGCCTTGCGCACCGCATCTTTGAGGTCTTCTGCCGGCTCCTCGTTGTCTTCGTCCTTTGCGATGGAGGCTTCTTCGCCCGAAGCTTGCCCTTCCATGTCGTCCTCAAAGCCTGGCGGCAGGGCTTCTCTGGGCGTACCTGCCGCCTCCCGCGCCTTGCGGACGGCGTCCCGGAGCGACTCCATAGATTGACCGGCGCTTTCGGATGCGCCGGTGGCGACAATGTGCTCCATGTCCCCGGGCACGAAGTCGTCGCGATCCTCTTTCTCCTGTCCTTCTTCCTTCGTCGAGAGGGCGCCTGCTGTCTCGGCGTCCTCCTGGGCCTTTGTCGGAGTGGCCGCCGGCGGTTGAGTGGCCTCCTCGGCCGTCAACTTGGCCTCCGCCGCGATCGCTGCATTGTCGCCCTCGGTCTTGATCTCGAGGTTGGAAGGGACAGCGGCGGCGTCGTCCGTCTTGAGCTCTGATGAGTCGAGCTCTGTCTCGGCTGCCGACTCGGGTGGTGTGGCGGCCAGCGATGACGGTGCGGTATCCGCGTCCGCCCGCTCGGTCTTGACCTTGGCTTCGTCCGGAATCGTGCGGGCAGGTGCCATCGTCTCGACGGGCTTTGTGGATGTGGCCTCTTTCACCGACACGCTGACGACCTCTGGGTTATCGTTCGGAGGCAAAGGCTGGTGATCTGCGGCACGATCGACGCTCTCGTCTGCTGTCGCTTTGACATCGCCGACGGCATCAGCTGCGACCTCTGCGTCCACCGTCGCTGCCGCCGGGACGGCTTTGGCCTGTGCCTCTGTACGGGGCCGTGACTGCTCAGAGCCCATGATCGACATCGAGACTGGGCTGAGGCGGCCCGGTGGTACCTCTGTGCCCGCGACGAGGAAGACAGGTGGGGTGTCTTTGCGAGAGCTGATACTCGAGCTGGGTGCAAGGGATGCCCAAGTGTTGGTTGGCTAGGTGGTGCTAGGTTGGGGAGGGATGGAGGGGAGCGACAAGAAAGCAAGGATACCGAGGCAAGGCAAGGCAAAGGCTGGGTCCTGGCGGCGCGGCACGAAAAATTTCGCGGAAATGGCCGACTGCCAACGTAGGGCCTCCACCGGCGCTCGCTCAGCCGCACGGCCAGTAGGCCGCGCAGTCGGGAAGCGGAACTCGGCCAACAGGTCGACACAGCCAGGCGGCCAGCTGGCAAGGCAAGCCAAGGTCAGGCCAGGCCAAGGAACGCACGAGCCCGCTCCTCGGCACTCGTAGCCCCTCTCGACCTGCCACCACCCACGCCGCCGCCGCCGCCTCCTCCTTCTCCTGGACCTATTCCTCCCTTCCGCCCCACCGTCACCATGGTTCTTCCTCCTTCCATCGCCGCCAGACGGCCAACGACAAGGCGGCAGTTCCTGCTGCCGGCCTACCTCTTGGTTCTCCTCGCCCTGGCAGCGCAAGCCGTCCACGCCCAGATCTTCCAGAACTTCTTTGGCGGCCACAACGGCGGCGGCGCCGGTGGCGGCGGCATGTTTGGCGGCCACGCAAGAGAGCAGGAGCCCCCGCCGTCGGGCGACGCGAGGTGGTTCCATGAACGCGTCAACGCAGGCAAGTCTCGCTCGATCCGCTGGTCCCTGTCGTTGCAGCAGTGGCCGTCACGACATTGAGCTGACCTCGCACGGATTGCCCTTCCTCCCTCGTCCCTATCTCCTCCTCGCTCATGGCCCGCTACCAGCTCAATGCCAGCAGTACCTCTGCCCGCGGACGCTCTCCTGCGTCTCGAGGCCCTCGCACTGCCCCTGCCCCTTTCCACAGCAGATCCGCTGCTCGTACCGCGACACCGACAGCGCGGCCGTCGAGAGGTCCGATCGCGCCGGTGGGTCGTTTGACGGCGTCGATGCCCAGCTCGACCTCGGCGGCACGTTTTGCGTCACGGCCACCGACTGCGAAGAGGTCCAGTGGCTCCTCGATGGAGGCGGAGTCAGGTCGTCGGCCTGAGGCGGCTGCAAGGCCTCGCTCGTGCCGCAGTTCGACAGTCGAGGCAATAGATGCATCGCCCCTCATCGCTGTGCATCTGCGAGCAGTTCTGCACGTGGGCCTGTGTGCGCTCGATGTCAGGCGTGGAGATTGTTGTGGATCGACTGTCAGGTCTTGCGGTTGGGAAAGTGCTTGGCGAGGACCGCTGCCGCCTTCTTCTTGCGCTCCTCTGCCGCCTTGATCCTCGCCTGCCCCTCGGTCTGTGGTGGCGGGGCGGTGCAGCCGTGGGCGATGGCGGAGCGGTGCATGGGGCAAAACAGGCCCCTGCACCGCTCACACCTCGGCGCAGCATGCGAAAACGGCCTGCCCGGACCCGCCGCGGTCGAGGCGGGCTGGACCGTCCTGCTGCCGCCCGCTCCATCGACTAGCCTGATACCCGCGCCCGCGCCCGCCCCGGTAGAGGTGCCGGTCTGGGGCGACGACGACGACGACGACGACGATGGCGATGCTGCCAATTCGAGGCTAAACTTCCTGCATCCCCTCTTTTGACACGGCAGTCGGTCCGGCGTGGAAGCGTCGCGGTTGGCGGAGGACGAGGAGCGCGCGAAGCGCTCGACGAGCTCGGTGTCGCTGAGGGTCGAGTCGAGGGCGCCCGGGGCGGCGCAGCTGTGCTGTTCCGGTAGGAAGTGGGACTCGCAGTACTCGCTCCGGCAGTAGGCGCAGGTGATGGGCAGGAACGAGAGGCGGTTGCACGACGTATCGGCGCAGTGCGTGCCTGTCTCCATGTCGGGCCGGGGGCGGGTGGAAGAGGGACGCGGGACGACGCTGCGAGGCCCGGCGGGAGGGGGTGGGGTACGGCGAGGTGGCGAGATGGTGCTCTCGTAGCGAGCGTGCGTGTGCCTGTTCCGACGTTGAGGGCGATCAAGCGGTGGTTAAAGGGAGAGCAATGACGTGGTGGCGGGTCTGAGGAGGAAGGAGGGAGCTGGAGTGAGGAGAAGAGAGAGAGAGAGAGGAGAGCAGGGCAGGGCAGAGCATGGGAAAGGTCGAGTTGCGGGTCGTCGGTCGCCCGCTCCACTTTTTCCTTGGTGGCCGCTGCCGCCACGCCAACTCGACCCTCGACCTCACCTCACCTCGCCTCGACTCACCCAACCTCAAACCACCACCATCACCGTCCTCGACATCCCGACCCCTCTCGCCGCACCAGCCAGCAATGTCAACGGAGCGAAGCACCACCATCTTTGTCGGTACGTCTCCCATGGCCCCACCCACCCTCCTCCGAATCTCTCGACCTCCCAGCCCGAGCCGATTCGACCTCCCAGCCCGAGCCTGCCAAACTCACCTCTGCTTGCCTCTGCATCTTCGCCATGGCGCCCAGGCGGTCTCTCCGATGCGGCGACAGAGCAGACGCTGCACTCGTACTTTTCGCCCTTTGGGGACATACTCGAGATCAACATCCCAAAGGCCGAGGGCGGCAGGGCGAGGGGGTTCGGCTTCGTCGTCTTTTCCTCGCCCCGCGAGGTCGAGGATGCCGTCGACAACATGCACCTCAACGAGATCCTCGGCGTGAGTAACGTCGCCGCGCCGCGCCACCCGCACCTCGGGCCGGTGACATCGCCATGGGACGAAGGCTGACCCGACAAATGCGACGCCTGCATCGTGCATCGGTGGCGGCGGTGAACAGAGGGTGGTCAATGTCAACATCGCGAGGCCGATGAAGACGTCGGCGGGTGGACGCGGACCCGTGTGGCAGGACGAGGTACGTTTCGCCGCTCCCCTTCTCCTCTCCCTCTCCCTCATCCTCTGTCTTGCCGGGATCATTGGCACTGACCCACCCTCTACCCGTCGACTCGACCCCGCGCAGGACTGGATCAAGCAACACGCCCTCAAACCCGACACCATCGGCCAGGATCCATCAGCAGCGGCGACGGCGGGCAGCGAAGACACCAACGGCGCCCAGCCATGACCTTGACTCACCTGCTATTCTCCAGGCCAGGCCAGGCCCCGCCAATCCGCCCGCTGGCCTGCCATGTACTTGTACCCCTCTCCTCCTTCCTCGACTGCGAACGTCCGTCGCGGTACGACCTGCACGTCGTCCCCTCTCCGCCTTCTTCGCTCCTCTTGACGCTTAACTGGAGGGTGACGCCCTCGACGTCCACCGACATCGACATCGACATCGACATCAACGAGCAGGGGCACGGCACTGGTGATGATGGGAGGCATTAGACGGTCGACGGGCCGGTGGCGTTGGGACGAGACTGAAGAGGCAAGAGAGGGCTGATCCGCGAGCTGCACCGACATGGATCGACAAAGGAGATGCGACGGGAGGAAAAGAGAAGAAAAGGTCCGTTGACTAGAGCGAGCCGAAGATAGACGAGGAGGAGAAAGGATCGAAGCAGCGTGGCTTCGACGACAACGGCGACGACGACGACGACGACGACAAGCGGTTCATCGTCGCCGCCGTCGCCACAGCAGCGGCAGCAGGGTGACAGGGGGTATGCGCATGCGGCTGCGTGCCTGCCTGGGTTCAAGCACCGGCGAGCGAAGATGAGGGAAAAGGGGCGAGCAAGCGAGCGACGGGCGGCCTATGCAAAAAAGGAGCGGAAGCGGCGGGGCACGAGGAGCAGGGCGACGACAGAGGCGGACACCCCGATAGCGGCGCTGCCCCACGCTCCGTCGCCGCCGTCATAAGGAGTAAAAGAGGTCGTGAAAAGGAGGGGAAGGGGGGGGGGGGGGGGGGCGAGGCGGAGCGGGAGGCGGGGCGGGCCCGACCGTACCGGCCGTCGGGCGTGGACGGTCAGTCCCG